TCGAGCTTCGACTCAATGGTAATCCGATTTTTTTTCTTCGTTGCTCTCCCACGTACTTCGTCCCTCGTTGGGAGGTCTAGGAGCTGCCTTACGGTGCCAACCTTGTCTTGGATCGTAGTACCAGGGTTGGTCCGGGTCATAGCGTGTTGGAGGTACATCAGGAGCTCCAGTGGGGAGCTCTCCTCTGTCCTCCTCTCTCCTTCCACCATTCCTACTCGATTGGTTCTGTTCCACCTTGTTGGAACCCTCCGAATTACTATCACCCGGTCCCCCGGAAGGTGGTGGAGGAGGAGGAGGCGGAGGTGGTGCCCCTCCCCCGCTCCTTCCTCCCTGTTCTCTTTGACCCTGTCCCCCTTGACTCAGAGGTCGTTCTCGATCTCTTGATTGACTAGAAAAATGTGGGGGAGGTACTCTAGGAGGGGGGTTAAAACCGCCTTTGCCTCCTCCCTCGTTTTCCAACGCGTACGCTCCTCCTTCTGGTCTCCCATACTCCCCTAGTTCAGCTCTTTGCACTCGGGCTCCCCACTCGTGAATACGTCGTCGGTCCACACTCGGAGTATCCGGGATCTGTCCTGCTTGTTCTACCTGGGGGTTTCCATCCCTAGCTCCTGTAGGAGTGTTTCGGTTAAGGGATATTGGTTCCGTAGCTTGCCAGCTCCTTGGCTGGGGAACTACAGGAGAAGGACCCCCCCTCGTATATTCTCTCATTACCCTAGGTGCTCGCCCGGATAATCCCGCCGTGTTTCCTGTTTTGGAAAGGGGTCCTCCAGTCGGTACTTCCCCCGCTGTGAATCCTTTCTTTACCTCACGGAATTGTTCCTGGAGCGTCTCAATGACCCGAGCCTGTTGTTGGATCATTGCTACCGATTCCTGAGAGTGTGCCGACTCGAAAGCCATGCCAGGTCAGTTCATCTGAGCTCCCGTTACAAAGGGAGTTCCAAAAGGAGCTCCCTGCGGGGGTACCGCCTCTTCGTGAACTGCCAACGTTCTTCGTTGGTTCGGGCCCCTTTGACTTTCCGTTCCCACTGCCTGAGATTGCATTGATACCGACCCTTGATACGGAATGACTGATGGATTGCTCAGTCTTGGAGGAACGTGTACAGGGTTGGGAGCCAACCGAGCTGTCAGATCTTGTCCGGAGATCCGGGATGAATGTTGTGCGCCATCCATCCTCACCTCACCAAACTGGTATCGCTGCGTCGAGACTGGGGTTAAAGGTTTCGTTTGCAGGTTAACTCTGGGGGGAGGAGTCGCATTTTGAGCCAAGGCATGTACAGTGGGGGAGGTCCCAGAGCGTAACTGGGGGCTCCTCGTGGCCGTGTTACCGGGGTTAAGGAGTTCAGGAACCTCGGTATTCCTGGGCGATGAATGTTTCTGTGCCAGGAAACGACCATCAGATCCATGGAGCTGCCCTTTCTGGTCAAATTGCTCCGGAGGGAACTCCCCTACGCTTTCGAGTTCGCATTGAACCATATACGAGGTTCCCCGATTATCCGCGACCAGTCTGCGACGGAATTCCAAAGCTCTTTCTAGATTCGATCCAGAAAGTTCCTCCGACAGCATCAGAGTGTCTGATTCCGCTAGTAGCGTCCGATGTCGGGTCTCCTGCGAACACAACATCGCTTCAGACTCCTCACTCCTCACCAGAAGCTGGTGCATATGCCTCATGGGCGTGTACGTGTATACCGTCTGTCCATTACGGACCCGGACGGGACTATCCTGATCAGGCATTGACTCCACTGGGGCCAGGAGGTGAGCCGTGGTGTATCTCCTGCGTCTACGATTTTTTGCAGCAATTGTGTTAGCATCCTCGTTACTTTCCTCATCGATTTTAGCTGCTGCTTCCGCTAGGTTTGCGTTCCGAAGTATTTGGATCGCCTGGTAGTTCGGTATGTTAACCCTTGAAGGGGGAGGTTCAAACCGTACGGCTCCTGATCTGTAGTTAGAGGCTCAGTACAATATACGTAGCCCTGCTTCGCCACAGAACTCCTTCTCCCTTCCATGGGTATGAGGGAGGAGGGGAAGTATTCCCCTCGAGTTTCGGAACGATCGTCCGTAACGTGCCTCTGCCTCTAACAGTTCCAACATCCTCTCTGGGTCCAACAGGACGTTGTACAGCCAGAGAAAATCTGATCGATTCGCGGGGGTCATCAGCCACTGCTGGGCCTTCTCTGGGAGGTCTATCTCCAGTTGAGTTCCCACTGTTAGGAACTGTACTCGTAGGTCTGAGAATTCGAGACCGTCTCCCAATTTTTCGATCCCCATTGACTCCAATACCTCCCTTAGGACCATAGCTACATCCTCCGGGATACACTCCTGAATTCGAATGACGTCTTCCAGACGCAATGTCATTTCGGACAAGGGTTGTACGGGGAAGTTGGTCCTGCTATGGTGTATTGCGTGTGTACGCTCCCAGTTGGGCGTATTCATAGCTGGGCTCTTCAGGAGACTGGAGAGTGAACTCCCTCGTCTCGGGGGAGGAAGGTTAAGGGACTGTACTGGAGGTGTTGGTAACCTCCGGGATGACGCCCGAGATTGTTCGGATACGGCAGGGGATACCCTCCTCTCTGGAAGTTTCTCCTGTTGTCGTACTGTGAGAGGGTCAGTACTCCCCCCTTGTATCCTTTCGATAGCGGCTACTTGACCGCTGACTCTTCCACCCGCGTTCGAAGCTGACTCCATGTCTAGCTGCAGTATCGGTCCAGGGGGAGGTCCTCTCGTTCCCCAGGTAGGGGAGTATGCGAAACCTCCCATGGGACTACTGGCAGGTTGGGCGTAACCCATGGAGGTAAACCTCCGTTGTGGTGGTCCCATCCCAGGTTCCACTGGAGGGGGCCCCTGAACCTCCGGTTGACGTCCCTCTGGGGTCCGGATGTTGCTGGCGGTTTCATCCCCGAACGACTGTTCTGGGATGGACATCAGGCGTTGACCAGCTGCCACCGTGATGACAGTGGAGCTAGCAGCCTGGTTCGATTTTTGAGCTTGTGTCGTGTTTCCACGAGATAAGGCGCTCTTTTGTTTCTTTGATTCGGTCTTGGAACTAGAAGGTCGTTCCGTTGACGTCGCCGACATTTCGTCGCGACGAGTCCGTTCGGTGACGGGAGAGCTTGGTATAATGTAAGACCTGGGTCAAAATAGGTCTTGGGATAGGTTTTGGTATAGGGATGTTTATGTTGTAGCGTGCTAGGAGCAGGCTGGAGCTACGGGAACCGCGACCGAGGACGGGAATGACCAAGTAGTGGTTGGGATGACAAGATGATGACCCTTGAGGGGGTTCCTAAGAGGTCTCGAGAGGTCCCTAAGGCGTAGGGAGGTCAAGGAAGAGTGCGGAACCGTACGATATTGCGTAGTAGGAGTTGTACTCGCTAGAACGTCAAAGTAGAGTCGAATAGGTTGTATATGGGAAGGGGTCTCGAGGGTGTAAGCTCTAGAGAAGGGAGGTACCCGTGAGGGTAGGTCCCTGGGGGCTGGGCGCGAGGAGGGGCGTTCTCGAGTGTGGGAGGTGGTAACGGAGAAGCAGTACGTAGTTCGACGTGAGAGGTAGCTTCGACGTTATCTAGATCGAGGTCCCGAAGCTTACGAAGTAGCTAGGGAGCTCTGGGAGGTTTGGAGAAGGATAGCTCACCAAAGCGTGTAGGCGTTGGGAAGCTTTAGTAATATTCGAGGGAGTTCGGGGACTCACTCGGAAGGCTTAGACTTGAGGTAAAAGCGTATATTCAATCGTATAGACGATCAGAGAGACGATAGATGAGAGTGAAGAGAAATAGAGGTAATGAAACAGAGAGTAAAGAGAATTCCGTATAGGTAGCAGGTACAAAGGGACAGGGACTGGACCTATGTAAAGGGTGTGTGTTCAAAATATACCAAGCTGGGCTTCTGGACGCTACTGGACTGCTTAAATACGTATAGGGAAGTTAACAAAGAGACATAGTACGAAACAGGCACTTAATGGGGTTTCTAAGTACATCAGGACGGAATGATGGGCGCATGTGCGGGGTTCCAGGACCCTGTCGTGGAGTGGTTCGGTTGCATTGAGGGGAACTAAGATTAGTGGAGGTTGTCCTAGCCGTGAGGAGGTTTGCAGCGTTGGGAGTGTTCTCAGGGGTTCAGGGAAGTGGTTGAGGAGGTAAGGGGGGTTGAGGAGGTTGGGAACTACGTCAAGGAGCTTATGGGCTATGGAATTTGGGGCGAGGCATGACAGGACACTCTGAAAGAACGAAAGGAGTATGACCGGAAACAGAAAAAGATGGTCTTTAAACCTCTGACTTTTCGACACTATTTGAATGTCCCAACAGGTTCACATCGGAAAGCACTGATCCACATTGTGACTGGTAATCACCAGCTTGCGGTGGAACGGTTGCGCTGGGATGAGAGAAACAGACCTCGAATAATCAGAGAGCACCGGTTGTGCCGTCTTTGTAAAGGCTCAGTCGAGGATCCTGCCCATGTTTTATTTGAATGTAAGGGCAGTCTTGAATTGATCAAATTAAGGGAGACTTTCATGCAGAAAGTAATCCTGGGACTTCCACAATATGCAAAATTCTATCCAGATGCATGGATGCTATTCCGCACCTTATTGGCTGATACAAGAATCACGGAATTATTTGCAAAGTTGGCATATGATGTTTTAGAAGTTGTATATGAGGTTGAAATCTTTGTCCCATCTTGATGCAAAGGTTGCTTGCATGCATTGTCGAGACGGGGAAGACCGTGCACGTCTCACGAGGTTTTTTTCCTGCTTTTTCCTCATCAAGTGTGAGAGTGGCATTATCGCCCCCCCGTATTAGAAATGTGTGTTCCAATACTGTAATCTAAGTAGAGATTGTACAGTATGGTAAACTGGTCGTTCGGGAATCGGACCTCGCCAGTATAATTTAACTATCCTATCCTATCCTATCCTGAGCCTCTGGTGGACATAGTCTTGGCAGATGATTCAGTGATTATCATCTTCACGAGCTGCACGTGTTGACCACTGCACACGTATATTTCCTTCTATGTTCCCATCATCGTAATCGCTCACCATGGGGCAGTACTGGGCAATAATAAGCATCGACAACAGGGAAACCACCGGGCACTTGGGAAAGCTGGGAGAGTTCTTCTGGATGCCAGAAGACTCCCTTGTCAGCTGCCTGACGACTCCTGTGATTCCATCGTCTTACAAGACTGACTCTGCCATCGGCGTTTTTGAAGGGATATCACAAAAGCAAAAGTGCGTATTATATTGAGATTCCCTGATTAAGTTAACTGTACACTAGAAAGAATTATCCTCCATCGATCCTTTTGTCACTTCCGCATGAGCTCTTGCTTGTGATAGCAGAAGAACTTTTGGAGAAATATCTCGATCTCATTTGCTTTTCTCTTACATGCATAGACGCATGGGAGCTGACTGAACAAGTCCGATACAAATCTCTGTCTCGAGAAATAAAGAGAAAAAGCTGGGCCGGTAGTCGTATAATCCTGTTAGGAGATTACGCCTGTGCCTTGCCCCAGGGACTCCTTACCGATGCAGAAAAGAAGGAGCTCAGGCTTGACGGTTACGCAGATCATGAATTAGGGTCACTTCTCTATGCTCACAAAGCTTTTGGGATGCCGTCCTATAAAATCCCCAATGACCTTTATTATGACGCAATAGTTCAGGACAATGATCTTCTTTGGGATGAACTCCGGTACTTTGCTCGTCGCAAGCCATTCTCCCAATGGATCAGGCTACCAGGAAATTTTAAACTCACCAAGTCATCGTCCTCGAAAGATCTTTGGATGGTCCGCAATCTCACCAAACAGGAGTATGTAATTCCCACCAGACCGCAGAGCCTCACACAGGTTGTCTACAGTCTCATAGGATGCTCCGATGACGCTTCCGTTTCCATGCAAGGTGAAAGGTGTAGTGAGCTTATCAACGGACCCTGGGCAGGAGATAGGATTGACATCACACTTGTCTCAATCCATAGGCAAGAGCATGCACCTGAGGAAGGATCCAGTTGGAAAGACATCACTGTCAGTGTCAAGGAGTTGTTGGAGGCATTGGCGACAGAAGACGACGATTATGGTGTTTTCGAATTCTAGACACTTGTACACAGTTCTAACCTGAAATCCTTTATCCTTTGGGAACATTGCTTCTCTTACTCGTATAATTTGGAAATCGTGGATGCACAAGAAGGTTGAGTGAATGATAGGCTGAATGAACTCAGCAGTCCGCTCAAAGGAAATAATACATAATATGTGTGGCTTGTGGCCTAACGAGCGAAGTAAAAAAAAAAGGTCCACTTATTGCACCGAGATTGGTTGCTTTCCGTAATGTACGGTGAGACACAGATACAATTCGTGGACAAAGGAAGAGCATGGTAGTACATAGCTGTACCTGAAACGATAAGTGTAATAGCCAAAACAAAACACGACAAGAAAGGTCTTTCGAAATCTCATTTGTGTGTTCCCTGAGTTCTGATCAAAAGAACTATCATCCATCATTTCCTTCATAGCGCCGTGCTTAACCCCTCGACGCTCACATTCCACCCAGCTCTCGGGAAGCCTGGTGCCTTTCCCCCTTCTCTTTCCTTCTCGTCACTCCCGTTCCACCCTTGCGCCATCATCGCCGTTGCACAGAGTAGAGCACCGGATCCAGGGAAGTATGGTCTGTCGTGGAAGGTTGAGTTGAGTTGATAGTCACGGAAGCCATTGAAAAAAGGAAAATACAAGTCACGAAGAAATGGGGAACAAGAATAATGATGAAAGGATGAGTGATACGGAATGGCAGATGTAAACTCGGAAACCTCAAGACACAAGAGACCGGACTAACGTAGGCACCCTCACCCCGCCTATCGGCATTCCAACATCGTCAAATTGGAATAACGGATGTAGTAACCACTCGATAGCTTTTCTGTATCGTTGTTGCGTGCGGCCGACATTGCTAGCATAGGGAAGTCCCATCTACGATGAATAAGAGGATGAAGGAGGTTGGTCAGTTTGATGTCAGGTATAGAAAAACGTAAACGTAGAATAAGTAGGAATGTAAAATAAAGCAAAGCTTGGGACCGGACCAAGACTCGCGTCAATGAATGGTTGAACAAGAGCGGCCTGAAAGTGAACCGTTCGACGGAAAACGTATGACAAATGACAAAGGCCTTGAAAAATGGTACAATGGAAGAAATAAAAGGAAGGAGGAAGTAGGAAAAAACGAAAAAGAAACAAGATAGACCTTCAATATCCAAGTGCTTACCCCCAGCAATTACTAAAATTCCACCTCGCCCACACCTCCTCCATCGTCACCTTTGCTATCCCTTAATCGAGCCCTTCCGTGGGCGGAAGCCAACCATGTAATCCCACCAAGGAAGGATGATCATTGATATATGCTGGATCCATCCAGAAATCACGTTCAATGCCTTCATAGACGGTATACACCGTAGAAGTACCGTTATTCTGAATTGGGAGAGGAGCGAGGTTGTTTTTGACTGTAGTCCAATCGCGTAGAACTTTTTCTGAGTTCGTTGAACCACGCCTCTGCCAGACCAAGCCCAAACCGCCAATACGCCAATTCAAAAGCAGGGTTCACAGTCACATTTGGGGATGTATCCTCCGAAACGACGTATAACGGCGGACCCAGATCCTATAGCCCCGTAGACGCATTAGACCATGCGAAGACCGCCATCCAATCCGCTGTCGCCTTCACCACATCTTTCCATTTCTCCAACGTCGAGAGAGAGGGAAAGGCGCGGTATTCGTAAGTGGCAAAACTAATGGATGGGGCTGTTCCCATATTGAGAGGTTGTTGCTTTTGCCGGGGGAAACACGACATGAGGGATCGGTCATTTTGGGCCAACGGGCACCAGAGGACCAGCCTTGTTGGATTTGGTGACGGACAAGAGAGGTAGGGAGGAAGGAGGTGTAGACGTTTGAGGAACGGCGAAGAAGATCCCAGTTGGACCACGGAGCCCAGTGGGCGGAGTGCCAGAAGTATTCTTCCATGGTGGAATTTGCTAATGGGAGAAGGTCAGGAAGAATTGGACGATGAGGGGAAACATACCCGTACTAAGTGAATCAGAATATAGGGAGTGAATGAGCATCGTACATACTCGCTCGAACAGTCAGCTTACCCAGCCATCGTTGACTAAACCTGACTGGAAATGATCAGTCAATGCACGTTAATGTAACTCAAGAAAAATACATTACCTCTTGCGGTGGATCCTCCTCCGCCTCGTTAACTCTCATTAAATACCTCGAAAAGGATGATCATTCTCTGCGATTCGTCGGCTCTGGAATCTGTTGAACCGCTAAAGAGATCGACGAAACCACTTTTCATCCAATATGATTCCCAGGCGGCAATGGATGATTGAACGAGTGAATCGGAAGAAGGGAGCGAGGAAGGGAGGGTGGAGTTGTATGAGATTACGGGGGAGAGAGAGTTGGTGTCTGAGTGGGGAAGGATTGTGTAGCGGTGAGCGATAGGCGAATCGCGTGTGATGTCGAATTTAGTAGAACTTTCGACCGCGGTATAGAATATCGCGTCTACCATTTGATGTTGAATCTGAGCCTGAATTTCGCTATGGTCCAATAACGTGGTGGTATGGTTATCGAAAAGGGCAGAGCTAAAGTTTCCTACGAACGGAGCACTGAACATTTGAGAACGGTCTCCCCAAGGAAAGTCGAGAAAAATCCCGAGACGAGTCAAGGCGTTACTCGTATTGGGATATAGGAGAGGAGAGGAGACTGTGACTGTGATTGCAGATATATCCTGCGCCGAAGTAGTGGTCACATAAATGGTCGTATCCTCGTAGGTGAATTCGCTTGACATGATTCCCGTCCATAAATCCAACGTTTGGTGAACGTCGCTGAGATCGCTTTCCGAAACGTTCTGGATTAAGCCTGTTTGCGCGTCCAGAAAAACCAGCCCGACAGTTCCCAAGTTCACCCGATTGAGATTCGCAGTCAACCATTGCTCAATCTCCGGATCTCCACCAAAGTCATACTGCACCAATCTCCCATGATTGTACCGCGATTCGCCTTTGTAATTGTGTACATCCTCCATGGTGCGATTTGGTGGAGGTGAGCCATTTTTCTAGCCCCAGGAAGACATGGTAGCAAAGGGGAGGAAAGTTTGAAGCGAGGTCACATCGGCGCCGAAAGCAAAGTTGCCGTTACCGACTTGCATGGGTGTTGTTGGGTTGGACGTAATTCGAGTGGGGTTGTAGCGGGTTACGAGGGAGTGTCGGTCGATAGCGGCGTTTGAGGTAAGAAATATCCAGCAGAGTAGGAAGAGGCAATATATAGTGCTTGGTTCTGTAGGGAACATGGTAGGAGGTTGTTGAGGATTTGGCCATGACCAGTTCTGTTATGTATCGCAGTAGGTGTCGTTGGAGTTTGCCTATGACTGTCAGAATATAAAAGATGGATCATGGGGTATATGTAGAACGCGTCTAACCATTGTGACTATCGTCTTCTGAAGTCTCCGGACCGTCATAACCTCGACAGAAATCTGTATACGGTGAACTCCTAGTTGTTTGACTTGAATGAGAATTCTAGAACTTTTGTGAAGAAAGACTTACCCTTCATCATGAGGCGAATGGATACTAGCGTGAAATTCAACCTGTAGCGAGTTTCCAGGGTATGAAACGTAAAATTTTGACTCGGATGTCAGTGAGGCGTAACACGTAGAGCGGTGAGACCGATGCTGATATGATTTCTGTACGGAATGCATCGGGCCGGCCACCGGATGTTGGCGCCTTTTGCTCCCGACCACTGACCAAGTATCGATGTAAGGTGTTACCTGCGACAGGCCCGATTTCTCAAGTTCATCATAAAATCCGACGTCTGTTGATATCGCTCAGCTTTCTTACTCTTCTATCCCCGCCTTCAAGTCATCGAAAACATTCAACATTGTAAAATATATTGCAAATATCTACTATGAATGGCCCTTCGGACAGACTAAAGGTGAGTCCTCGTAGCCTTCTGCGGGATCCATACCAACCAATTATCTGTTCGCATATATCGGCATAATCGAGTCTTCATTTGAAGGCGTTTTTCCCCCACAGGGTTGGTTCTCGAGGGTAAGCCATCTAATACTCTACCTCGGCGTCCCTACATAGTGGACTGCACACTCTCACTAGAGAGACTTTTGAAACCATTGACCCCCAATGAGATGTCTACATCATGCTGTATGTTCATGAACCATGTTGATCTGTACAACATCCGAGCCCATATTAGACTGTCCTACTACTATTCACGTCACTTTCAACCATCATAGGCACTACTACAGCACCTGGAATTTCAACTGCAACAGTTGCAAACTAGGTCTGTGAAGTAGCACAATCAATGTTGATGCTATACCCTGTGTTGGGAGTACAGAGAAAATGGGCCATGAGTATACGGCAATCTTTCGGAGGAAAAATATGTCAGTCACATACCACAATCTGCGTGAAACCACAAGGTGTTAGGAACACCGGTACCCAGGAAACTCCCGAAAAATTGAAAGCCAGCCACAGGATGAAAGATATCGGAGAGAGAACGAAAGAGAACGAAAGACTCTAGACTTCGAACAATGTTAGTATATTTATCCCCAATATCATTATCACAAACTTACATGTGCACAAAAAGATTTTGACTGAGAGTCAGTGAACCAATCAACAACTTCGCGATCTTGTAATACTTGTAAGTCCTATGTCCGTTTAGCTCCGTTTATGGCAGACCGTGACCATTGATCACGATTCACTAGTGACGGAATCACTACATCATACTATACCTTGCCTATTTCCAAAATGGAAGGATGTTTATGCTACAAAGACAGTTTACTTGTACAACCCAGTTGTTGAGTTTCTTGGGAAGCAACTCGCTAGCTGGAGAATGGGCGAGAAACTTTGGGAATGTGCGCTTCATGCACCCCTTGGGAATATTGTGGAATATTCCAGTATTACTCTGTAGTAGTATAAGTACATGAAAATATAGCAGCGAAGGCCAGGCATTTTCCAGGCATTGCCCCTAGCCTTTAATCAAGCGCAAATCCTCTCGAAGCTCTAACAGTTTCATTCCTTACCTCCAACGCGCACCCGAAAACTTCACACCAGTTGCCCATCGAGAGCTTAGAGAATGACTTACAATACAAGTTGAATGACCTACTACACATTTGTAAAAAAGAAAGGGTGAGAACAAGCCTAAGAGTTGAAAATTAGCATGCAATTTTTTTTTTCGGTGTAAGGATATAAGTATATCAGGTAAAGTCAGAGGAAAACACAGCACATCAACAAAATTTTATAAGAAAAAAGAAGGGAGAAATCAGGAATGATTACATGAATGAAGATCAGAGTATTCCAGGTATGTAATGTATGATAAGCAAAATTTATGTATTTTTAGCTCCAAATTCCACAAGTATTTGGATCATTTTTTCATTTCGGCCGTTATATGCATATTGTACCGATCTCAGGATATTTCCATAAGGACCATCTGAGACATTGACCTCAGCACCATTCTCAAGAAAATGTTTCACCATAGTTTCATGGCCCCAGAATACAGCAGTTTGAAGAGCATTACCATGGTATCCACCCTGGGTATTGACATCAGCTCCGTCATCAAGGAATCTCTTAACAATCCTCTCGTTGCCTCGACGAATTGCACTTTGGAGAACATGTCCATATTCACTACTCTGAGCATTGAGATTTGCTCCATTGTCCAAAAGATATATGAAGATATTTTCATGGCCCTTGGATGCAGCAGCCTTGAGAGCACTACCATATTCACCACCCTCAGCATTGATGTCAGCCCCATTCAGAAGAAGATATTGGACAATGGTTTCATAGCCTTCATATGCAGCAGTTTGGAGAGCATTCCCCAAAAAAAATTCCACCTGAATGTTGACATCAGCACCATGTGCAACAAGCCACTTGACAATGATTTCATTCCCCTCATATGCAGCAGCTACAAGTGCACTCCCATATTGACCACCTTGAACATTGGCATCAGCTCCATTTTTCAGAAGATATTGAACAACATCTCTATGGTCATTCCATGAAGCAGCTTGAAGAGCATTTCCAAACAAACCACCTTGAGCATTGACATTAGCTCCACTTTCAAAGAGACATTTGACAATGTTTATATTGCCACAACAGGCAGCAGCTTGGAGAGCATTTCCAAATTCACCACCCTGAGCATTAACATCAGCTCCAATATGCAGTAAGAAATGGACACTATTTTCCCTTTCAAAATATGCTGCCGCAGATAAGGGTGTCCCAAGATCTCCTGTGGGTTGATTGAGAAAATTTTTGTCTAACAAGGTGATATCATTTACTGCTGGTAAAAGGCCAAGGCAGGCTGCCCACCAAAAGGGATTCATTCCTTTCTTGGTGGTATAAGGGAAGGTTTGAAGTTTATATTTGTCAGTCCAATGATGGTACTGAAAGCTCGAAGCTTTCAGGATCTCATGGGAAAGGTCACGTAGAACATTCCCCAGCTGATCTCCTTGCAGGCTTGATGCAGTATGGCCTGCCCAGTGCTGGATCGCATAGCTTTCAAATGGGAAATCTTGCTCTAGAACTTCTTCATCTTTCCACTGCAAAAGATAAACAATACACATTTGTGCCAGTGTATCATGTGCGAGGTGTGCATCCATGTCGAAGGAAGCCTTCATTTGAATAGCAACCTGTTTGAGAAGCAGGAATTCCTTTACAGATGCATGTGCAAGCTGAACCACACCATCGGAGTTGATTGCAACAAGAGTTGAGTCAACAATATTCTCTATCTTGAAGGCAATCTCATCACTTGATTCAACAACCTGTTGTTCCAAATCAATGGATAGAATGGCTGTGATCTGTTTTTGGTCCAAAGGCTCAAAAGCATATAAAAGCCATAGTAGAATGTGATATGCCTCAGTGGAATTTGGTCCATTTTTACACTTTTGTACAGCCTGTTCATATGTGCCCTGCAAATCCAAAGGAAGATTTTGCATTGCTCTTCTAGCTGCCTTGGATGTTTTACATTCTTTCAGTATGTTGAGCTGACAATCAATCCAGCGAAAGCTAGAGTAGTATTTTTCAGAGGGTCAATGTAAATTATTCTATAGCAGGGACTCACACTCCTTCAGCTTTAGTTTTCAATGTTTTCTTCACTTCCAATTGGAAGGGTTCGGATTTAAAATCCTGAAAATCCTCTGCAATCTTGGTGGCAAGGTACACATCAATATCTCCACTGGTATTTTCGATATCCAATGAGATCAAGATTCTAGAGCCCCAATGAATGTCCGGAAGGTGGCGGCTTGTAACTACAAGCCATAAATGGTGCATATCTGATACAAGATTAGTGCAAAACTTTTGAAGTGAGCTACTTTCATTGCATTCATCCAAGGCATCTAGTATAACACAAACTGGACCCTCTGATTGAAGGTCATTGATGATTGTCTTGATGGCATTTTCCATTGATTTATTGCTTGGTTTGGCATACATAAGTCCTGTTTTGCTTGATTGATGCAAGACTTTCAACGCTGGGTGAATGCGGCTATTGGATGAACCTAGCTGTTGCAAAATTGATGATAACAAGCCCTGGTAGCTTGACTTCACTCCAGTGGTGTCACGGGTGTCAAAATAGTGATAACAAACCAACTTCTGAGGGTCTGTTTGGAGACTTTCAATTAATGTTGAACTAAAGTGTGAAGTCCCAGTTAGTACAACTTCAAACAGTCTAACTTTTGAATTTGGATGGTTACAGTAGGATTGTTTTGCCTGATCCAGCTAGAATTATACCATATAGTTAATAGATTCCGGCTCCTTGAGGATTTGAAGTTTGTCACACCTTTTCCTTGTATCCAAAGCATACCACCTTGTTTCATCCAGTGAATGTACTGTGGATCATGAAATATCCAGTTGCCTGTCCCGGATGTTTTTCTGTCCAAAGCTGTACACATATTGATAGAGCTATCCGGCGCTCCCAGCCATTTATGTATCATCTTCTCGTCCTCATTGAAGATAGTATCTATGAGAAGATTTTGTGAAAATATAATCATACACAACTATCCTCATTTACTTACAATAGTTGATATCTCTTCCTGCTGCATTGAAACTACTGTTATGAAAAGCAAGCTGAGTTGCTTGTGCAAACATCCTTTGAGGAGGGAAATTCTGAGCAATGAGCAGAAAAAAATTACAGCAAAGCTTACTGTATTGGGGATTCATTGCTATTAACAGGGAATTGAGGTCAAAAAAATAGTTGTAGGGTTGTAGATATATTTATTCACCTGTTAGTGTTTGTTCGCTTACTCATGATAGAAAATGTGGTAGATAAAGAAACAATTTTACGCAAAACCCGGGCCCTCATATACCCAAATCAATGACAGCTGACTCAGTGACATGACCGGGACCGAGTTCGGATGATATTTAGATTGAGTCAGGATGGACGAGGGGTGTTGAAGCTAGAATAGAAGATTGATTACTGAAGCCGGAGTAAGACAGCTGGTCTAATAAGTGCTCTAGATATCAAGAGGCAATTGAAAATGAGCGAAAGCAAGGGCACTCAAGGGTGCCTTACATTCAATGTAAGAAACTAGACTCGAACCAGTCTGCTGCTGGGAATCGATATGCGGAATCACTTTCTCGGCAGAGATTGAGCGCCAGTTTCCAGAGTGTCGTATCAACATCCGAAGCTACTGGCTCGAGTCTAGCAAGAAACAAGTTGGTTGCCAGACCATCTCGTCCGTTCGTCGTCGAAGTAATAACGACAAGATTTAACCTGTTTCCTGTGCGCGTGTTTTGTCCTCTATGTACGCCATTTGCTGTTGTTCCCACCACTTCAAGCCAATCGATATTTTCGTCAACATCTACACCGGTGCCTTCCACAGTTATATTCAGAAAACAATATGTGTAGTATGTATTTAACACTGCAGAAATACATATATCCAACGAAAAGTAACCGCTGAGCTCATCCCTACAATTTCGATCGATCCCTATCCTGAGGAATAGGTAAATCAATAGAATATCCTTTCGGAGGGATAACTCCAGGAACAGTGTACACTAGTACACATAAAATTTCCGGCAACGCAATGAGGGGATACCATAGATGTTCATTATTAGCTTCGGCGATATTGTTTATAGTCACGACGGTGAATATCTCCCTGACGAGTAGGAGAAGCGAGATGATTCCGAAAAGGAGGGAAGCGTGTTTGGTGCCAAACGAGGTGAAGGTGGATTTTAAAGAGTCTTTTCCTGAACGTCACGATGGATATCGGTTATTTGAAGGCAGTGAATGAGCACGACATACCTTCATGTTCGGCTTTAATAAGAACGAGGGTTTGGAAAACTTGGAAGACAGTGAGGATGAGAAAGATAATGGCGCTGGCTTCTCGCAAAGACGTCCCAGTGCTGCTTGTTGGATTACTGCTTGCTAAGTTGATACCAGCAATACCCAGAGCCACGGGGACGATCAAGGCCGTACGAAAGAGACGACGGTTACGAGTGAGTCGTAGGAGGTTTCCGATGATAGGAGTAGGGATAGATGCTGTATCGTCGTTGTCGCACAAGTCGAGCCTGAGGTGAATCAGTGTCAGGTCGGATAGTTATGGTAGAGACGCACCTATCCATAACGAGACTATATGTAGCGTATAGTAGCCCAAAGAAACCGACAGAGAAAAGAACTTCTGTTGCGATGAAAACACCCTCGTTATCCCCCGCACTGGCAACGCCCGCGGAGATGGCACGCATGATGAATGCAGCAACTCGGACTGAAGAAAGCATGACGACAAGTCGTAAAAACCGAGTAACAAACTCACTGGTGCAAAACAAGGTCATAGTGAAAAGGACCTTCCTCCTTTCCTGGATTATCTTGGCCACGAAATAAAGCGCAAGAGCGGAGTACAGGGCAGCGAATACTGCTGCTGCGGCGACCGAATTCCAACCAAAGGCTTTGGCATAATTATACGCCATGGTTTAGCGTGTAAAGTGGGGTTAGACATTCTCTGAATAATGGGCGGTCTTATATGTGGTATACACCAGATGAGACAATGTAGGACAGGATTTAAGACCGTGGGCAAGTATGGAAAAATCTCGCCGCCGGCGGACCACCATCAGACTCCTGACTAGGCCTGATCGATCTGTCGCTGTTGCTGCTAAGTAAGTAGCTCTTAAGAATGTTATGTCGAATTTGCGGCTTTCACAGGCAAAATCACATTCACGTCGGGTGGTACTGGTACAATGAGACGTAGCTTGCACGACGCAGTGTTCCATGCTCAGCAAGAGGTGCGAGTATCATCCTTTTTGGTTCTGTACGCGGTAACTTATTGTTACTATAGGTTACTATATCCAACAAGGGCGCTGGTGCATCTATATCGACCGAAAGAAGATGGCATCATAATCACTAAAAAGCCATTGAACAAGCCTCTCCGCTATATCTGCACATTGTGCTAGTCACCAAGACGTCCCGAACAAGGCACTAAAAAGGTTAAAGTATTGCAAGCGAGCAATGCATGTGAGTGTTTTCCGCCTGATTTATTTCGCACTGACTTTATTAGGATTTCTTCCTTCATAGGTTCAACAAGAGACCAGTACTCGTGTTTGGATAAAGGGCATTGATTTTGAAACATCCCTATTCTGTTTTCCCCACATCTCCGTTCTCAATATCCATGTACCCTTCGAAACTATCAAATGGACATGTTACTTGGTCTCCTCATACATCCTTCTTGCTCAATTCTTTGTCATCCCTCAATTGTATGTTTGATTTCTCCACTACTACATCCCAAAGGCCTATGTAGATGAATCTCAAGCTGCTGAAGTCAGAACCCCCACTGAAGAGCTTGTCATCGTTCAAACCGCAAAAATGCAAGTCAATGGACAGCATCATACCAAGGTGTTGCCCCCAGTGTAACATCACAAAGAGCAATATGCTGTTTATTGGTTACTTTGTTATGTGATGGGGTGGACTGGTATTACATGCAACAAGTTCATAGTCCTGAACATGATTGTTCAGCGACTGGGGTGAGTGCAGGTGCAGCTGTAGGTGATGCACAGCTCAATGATGAGACATGGATCATTCCTGCTGTTGTCCTGCTATCAAATGTGCAATATGTATGCAAATTGAGCATAAGGCAGCTGATAAGCAGATTAGGCAATCTAGTGAACTTTGATGAATTCTCCATTCCTTTTGAGACTTTACATGTTCCAGATAGCTGGCTCATATGCTAAAAATGGTGCAGCAAATTCGAGAAATTCTGGAAAGAGTTTGAGTACGATATGGTCTCTGAAGAAGTCATAAGTTAACAACAAACCATGTTGCCCTCATCATTTGTTGCAATCTTTTATCATGAATGAGTTGTAAGAAATGTAGTAGTACCTCAGTGAGTACTAACCACTGAACACACTGCAGAAAGTACTGCTACTAAAAGCGTGGTTCCTTCAATATCATAAGCTCCCAAAGTCAAGTCGAAATTTCAGTGACACTCACAGAAAATAAAGAGTTTCTAATAGGAAAACAAATCATTATACCACGGAACTCGACTCAAGCAGGAGCACAGATCATCATGGATAATGACTTGAGTAACACTGGATTGTCCAAGTCTTGACATCTCTACAGAATGTCGCAAAGTCTTTCTAGCTGTAAGCACAAATATGAAGCAATCATGTCCTAAAGCCATAAAGGGCATGCTAATTTGGACTACAGAACTTCCGAACCAAATGAGTAGTGCATTGTGAATAAGTATGTCAAAACAGACATCTACGGTCATAGTAAATTAGGTAATTATTTTATCAAGTAGCAGGAAACAATTTCACTCACTTCTCGTGTAGATCACTAGCCTCTCCAAAGACACACATTCCAAATTTTTGAATCCTTAAGTATTGCGGGACTTCGAACCTGCTAAAATTGTTTTAAGTAAATAAAAATGTACCACAATTGATTTTGCAAAGTTGGGTTATCAATCAGAATGAAGCATTTAAAATTGTCGGCTGCTAGCTGATAGTGAAGGCCAAGAAAGAGTTTAGAAATGTAGGAATTTGTGTTAATGATGGTGTTTGGGAAGGAATTGGAAGGGTTTTGAAAATGGGATTTGGGAAGCAATTTGAAGTGGGTTATGGGGCTCACCAACACTGTTAAATCATCTCCTAATGAAGAATCACCAATCTACATACACGTAATAGGGACAATGTCACTAGCTGTACCATTGTGCACAAAGAATTATCTATTCATCATCGGTCACAGTAGTATTCATTGATGTATGGACAATAACAGCCTGGTACCATTAGAGGCTCTATTCTTACAACAGGAAAAGACTCAGCAATCAACTAGCATAGTTGTAAAGTGTAACAGTATGCCTGTTGTGTCAAGGTGTATGGCTCCAAAAATTGCTTTGAGAACTTACCGCAGGGGAAATTTTTGAAGGCTGCTCATCATGTATTTATGTTTTTCATCCACAGCTAGTGTTATGATGGGGTCTTTGATCCTACCTTTAATATCGGACTTGTAACTTCAATGCTTTATGCGTGGGTAAGCGGGATCTTCCTGATCTCAGTGCCATCATGGACCTGTGCCGGGTTCAAGTCTATTCATCCAAGACAGTCAACCAAATACATAAAATGTTCTTAACCATCAGGTCAAGGAGAGATAAGTCCCTTCTTCTTCTTTTTTCCTACTCCGGAAGTATTACTGGGTGGAGGTTGAGGATATTTGAGAGTGGAAGGTTGAAATGACTGGTTACTAGTCGAGGGAACATCTGTGGTGCTCTGTTCGGAGCGATCTACCATGTATTCTGATTGATCTCCAGAAACATATTGAAGTTCGAATGGTTGCAGTAGTTGCCCAGCAGTGCCTATGTTGTTACATTCCAGATGATGTTCTCCACTTCCTTGATTTTCCACCTCAATTTGAGTTGTACATGTCTGAGAACTTGAGAGAACATCTATTCCAAGCCCTATGCGCACAACCATCAATGTTGATGCTATTCCCTGTAAGATGAAGGATCATAAAACACAAATACAGAGCAATTTTGGAATAAGTCTTTACTGACCACAATCTGGATTAATGCACATGGACTTATAACAGATGTTCCTCTCCTTGAAAATTCCAAAGAGACCCATACAGTCAGAAATATTGGTGTGATAATGGCAGACTCAAGACTTTGAAGTGCAGGAATGGTGTAGATTTGAAAAATGTGAGAACACTGATCATTCAATCACTATGATGTTTCAAGCACATACATGATAATGATGGGTTTTGAAGGAGTTTGACTAGATTGACCAGCAAAGATGGTCTTCATATTACGGTTCAGCCAGTACATCCTTCCGGCTATCATAAGTTCAGCATCATTAGCAGATAAATAACCAACCTCAGTTGGGCTTACCTATCATCCCTGACAGGTATAGATTTTGAGCAAGTGTGACAAGGATATAAGGCATATAAGATATATCCTCCAGTCCAATAACTGCTGTCACTATCCAGAGAACTTGCGAAATACCAAGTTATTCAGTTCTTATAGAATTCACATGAGAATATGCACTAAGAACTCACCAACACAGGCAGGTATCAAAAAGGCAGGGACAACAATAACATATTTTTTGGAGTTCCAAAGGCGGTAACAACGTTGTAACTGGGACAACCAAATCCAGCATTCAGAATGTTCATTATGAAAAAAGCTTGTAGTCACACACACCAACATGATGTCGGATAATGACCTATGGGAATTAGTGGTCTGTAAATACATGCCATTCTAGAATCATTGAGTAGAAATATTTACTCACCCAACAAAGAGGAACAGAGCTTCAGCAGAAGACACAAATGCCAGTGCCCCATCTCCTGAAAGTTCAATGTACACTGAACCTCTAAACATGAGGAATGGTAGTGGCAGGCGGGTGCACACGGAAATGAGATTCAGCGTGACGGACGCAGTAGCAGCTATAAAAAAAAGAACGGTGGCAGTGATATAAAGCTTCCCAGGTGTAAACCTCTGTCGGAAGATGTACACGCTGAGGCCAAAAAGTACAACAAAAATTCCTACATATACAACCATGATTATCTTCAACAGATTTGCAGTGAATGTGAAATCAATCTAACCGTATAATAGTAATTCAAGCTGATTGAGTGCGGTTCAAGATTATTTGACCAAAAGGAAGAACCCAAGGAGATAATGAGTAAGGATACTAAGAGATGGGGCAAATGCTAATGGCCCGTGCACATACAGCCAATGGAATAATTATAGCATTCAAGACTTATTTATTGTAAGATTGAAAGTGATTCAAAAACCATGCATGTCGCATTTTCTGGGCAGAGTGCACTAGAGGGGTCTCGACGATGCATGTGCTAGTGGGATGGAATACGGGATTCGGAGGGAAGCTACCCGACTTATACATAGTTACCCTACCATAAAATCGGAGCTAGCCTTTTCCAAAGACTCTATTTACTCCACACAAACCTGTTGACTTGCGTCATCAATACCAGTTAGTCGCTGTTCATGTTCAGGCGATTACTTACTCTACACCTGTTTCCACAGACCACATGGTCCGTCGAGTACGGCGAGAGTTTGAAATGTCATGCAAATCCGCAAATCGGACATCCAAATTGTTTGCATTGACTGCACCGGCAAAGACGGACAAATTGGCCCTAAGATGAGGGAAGGTCAATGAGCACCGGGAAAAAAAAGTGTCAATGTGTGAACCAATGTGGTGTGACGTATCCGCGCCAGATTCACGTAAGGTTTCTCATTACAGCTGATTCCGAAAGTCTCCTCACATTGTTTTGCATTGGAAGATTCCATGAACATCGGGCTTAGGGCCATCATAATCATTACTGTTCCGAATAGTGCTACATACTTGAAAACAACCCTTGTTACCAATCTTTCATGATGACCCCGATCTTTTGATTCATAATGTACCACACTTCAGTTCCGAGTCCATTCACAAGCTACCCAATGATTCATGAAGAACCAGGACTTGAGATATTTTTGTGAAGGACGGTATATATACTTCAACCAGACGTCCTCATTGCCATCCTCATCTCTTCAAAATTTGTCACCTGCGCTCCAGCATGCTCCATCGAGACCTGATTTGCACCGAAAACACAACATGCATTATTTTCGAATCACCTGTAGTATTCCAACAGGCTTTGAATGCCACAATAATCCTTCCAATCATTGTACGGAGATATAGATTCTTTGTTGGAGCTGAATTTTGATGTAGTTCTCCTGGATTTATGCTTTGTGTTGAACCAGTTTGGACTCCTATTATATGGTAAGGTCACTGCTCCTGCTGCTTGTAAACTTCAAGAGGATATGACTCACGGATGGTCATCATATCCTGAATGCAGGCATTTTTTCAGTGCTCTTTGGTCTCAGCATATACATCTTCCGAAAAAAATACACACCGGGAAATGCATATATTATTGCAACAATCATGTTCTTTACACTAGCCACAGCATCTATTATCCTTGATCTTGTTTACATATGCACAGTATACTTGCTCCCGTTTTCTATGTCTCAAAGCTCTGGATACATTGGCACCTCAAATGAATCAGTTGCTTTCAAGTCTGCTATGGAACTGCTCTTTGTTGTTGCTGGGTGAAGTACTCTATTTGACTGAATGTATTTTCATATTCTTATAAAGTACCCTAGTTTATTGGCTGATACTATGAAGGTGAGATTTATAAGGTCCTCAATTCATATAAACCATATTTTTGACTGTCGACTTTCTTGTATTCCAGATCCATCGCTGCTATAGACTTTGGAGCTCGAGAAAGCTCATAATTATTGTCTCTCTCCTTCTCGTGCCTGCGTGTATTAGCAAGTGTTCTGATTCACTCTGGATGAGGAAATTGGGCTAATTTTAATACATGTTATCTTCAATCCTCAAGTTCTGTGGATAGTCACAACTGCTTTAAAATCTGGTCAGACAGCTTATGTGACTTACATCTATGTAACACTTGCACAGAATGTCTATTTGTCGGGGATGATAGGTAAGTGAATAACCAATATTTTCATTTCCCCATTGATCCTTCCTTACCAGCTGGACGAATATGGTGGTGGAATCAATGCAACAAGAACATGTTTGTTTGCCAAGTGAAGCTCATGTATGTGAACAATCAACCTAACTGTCCTTCATTAATGTTATTTCTGGCCTTCTGGGATATTGAAAAAAAGTCTGGAGTCTGCTACTCTTACCCCCATTTTCCTTCTTCTGTGGATGACTCTCAACTTCTCTGGTCATGACACTATTCTGAGCCCCTGTGCATTGACACAGATTGTGGTAAGTGAACTACTCTTGCAAATTTTACTAGATTTCTATGATATATTTTGCTGGACTACTGGCATTGACAGGGTATTGCATCAACATTGATTGCTGTTCGGATTGGGTTGGGCATAGATGATTCTTGCCATGTGCCTTTACCTGATCCAACACCCATTCGAGATGCTGAAAATCAGGCCTCTGAATTACTTCCCTCTGAGCAGCTGCTGATCCAGCCCTTCAAGCTCCGATATGAGCTTTTTACAAGTGGCCAAGGTTCTGTAAAAAGGGAACAAAATGATACATGTTCTGGGAGCACAATGGTTTCGCACCCTGCTTTAATAATGCCATGGCAGATTACCCCCCCTCCCCCCCTCTTCCTTGCAGATAGACGAGGATGAAAATCCCCATTGTGCAGACATTAAATTGCTTAGAGATGTTAGACTGGATAAATATAATAGACTTAATTATCAAGTCAGATCAGGCTTTACAACTAGCTCCGCATTCTGCCCTTGAGGAGTATTCAGATTGGTAGTTTCATTCCCCACCGAGCTTGAATGCTCCTCAACGTAAAGTTTTTTGGCTTTATCATTTAAAGAAATCATTAGTCACTCAATTCCAGAGAAGTAGTCTTTGAATTTGAAGCTACTTACAGCTTGCAAAACAGATGTGTCAGTAATATCCGGTGGAAATGTATCTTCTGTGTGTCTTGCTGGGGATGCACTCTGTATGTACGACCCCGCCGCAAATACATAAACAGCGTTATGACAATATACTGTACAGTTCAACTTACTTATCACATGATGGACAGAATTGGACACCTCAGTTGTTTGACCATCAACTAAGGTGAGCCTGATGGTATATTCTATGCATGGAAATATATATTGCCCCTGAGTAGATTCTTTACACTAACAGGTATATACAGTAATGGCACAGCTGTTTCACCATCAACTGAGATTCTTTACACTAACAGATTATGAGACTCAAGCTCTGATCAGAGACAAAAGCATATCAGTAGTGAAAGAACCCAGAGTAGCATTCGGAAATAGCCTGAGCATACCAAGACTCCCGAACAAAAAACAGCTCATCAGAGAAGATAACTAGGGACCATTCAAATGAGAAATCACATTTGCAGTACAGTCAAGAGGATTGAATGGATACCAAGGCCAAGTAACTACCCTGGGCCAATATACCCACCGACCCATCTTCCTACACCTCTTTTCAGCCCTACACCCTGCTTAGAGGAATGGGAGACTGTCATGCCCTGACCGGCCTACCCTACCCCTACCCAACCCCCAAGAACCCCCCTTGTCATTCTAGCTCATCACGAGACTGCCTCATTCATCGCGGGACCTCCCGGGCACCTCCTCCATAAGCTCCCCCGCCTTGGCCCAGTCCCAACAATGCACCCAGGATTCCCATGATACATTCATACTCATACTGAACTCCTTCCATAGAACCCGTCCGCCGCCACAACCCCCATTAGTCCCTAAATCTCAATCACTTACCTCACACATACCGGATTCCCCAATGCTCCCTTGTTAACTTCTCCATACCTATTTAAACAGTCCCATATAGTCCCAAGCCCCAGCTTGGTATATTTTGAACACACACCCTTTTGCATAGGTCCAGTCGCTGTCCCTTTGTACCTGCTAACTATACGGATTTCTCTTACTCTCAGTTTCTCTATCTCTGTCTCTCTACTCTTGTCTTTGTCTCTACAATCATCTATATGATCCAATATACGCTTTTACTTCACGTCTAAGCAATCCGAGTGAGTCCCCGAGCTCCCTCGAACAATACTAAAGCTCCCCAATGCCTACTGCCTTGGAAAGCTAACCTTCCCCAAACCTCCTCGAGCTCCCCAACTGCTCCACAAGCTCTGGGACCTCGATCTAGGTAACATCGAAGCTACCCCTTACGTCGAACTATGTACTGCTTCTCTGTTACAACGTCCATCACTTGGGGACGTCCACCGCTAATCCCCACTTCCCATGACCTCCCTCCCGGGCGTATACTTTATCAGGAGCTTACACGTTCGAGACCCACATCAACTACGGCCTACACGATCTTATGTTGACCTCCTAACAAGTACAACTCCTACTACGCAACACTCTTATGCCTACTGGTTCCCGTTACTTCTACCTTCCCTCCTTACACCTTAAGGACCTCCCTGGACCTTCTAGGAACCCCTTCAAGGGTCATATCTCTCAATCCCAGCCACTACTAGGTCATTCCTGTCCTCGGTCGTGGTTCCCGTAGCTCCCTTCAAGCTCCAGCCTGCTCTTAGCATGCTACAACGTAAGCTCATTATACCAAAACCTACCCTAAGACCAATTCCGACCCAGGTCTTACAGAGACATGCAACAAACTTGCCACTGGAGCTATACTTTCGAACATTACCAACCTGGTTAGACTAGGAATAGACAAAACAAAGAGGGTGTCAGAGATCTGGCAGGCACTCATGAAGTGATTTGAACAAGGCAAAAAGCAAAGGATTCATCTGGCTGACATGAACCTGTGCCAAGAAAAGTATGAGCCAGCAGACTCAACAATGGATGACAATGAGAAACAGATGAGGAACTTACCCAAAAGGTGTATGACCTTGAGGTCTATATATTATGGTTGTTGGAATGTCAGGGTGGATTAGTGGGGTTTGGCGTAGCAGATATGGTGGTTGGGGCGAGGGGTGTTAGGATTGAGGTGGCAATCTGAACTGATTCATTTGGGAATAAGGTGAATGGTGCCACCACCATGGCTGAGATCTGCTGACAGCGAGTGTAAGACTTGGGTCAGAATTGGTCTTGAGGATGGATTTTGGGATGAGTGGTTTATGTTGCAGTGTGCTAAGAGCAAGCTGGAGCTGGAAGGGAGCTATGGGAACTGTGACTGAGGACTGGAATGACCTAGTAGTAGTACAAAATGCGAGATGTGACCCTTGAGGAGGTTCCTAGGAGGTCCAGGAAGGTCCCTAGGACAATAACTGGGGGGGGTTGATGAACCCGGGAGCTTAGAGATGTGGGAAGGTTGTGTAAGGTGAGTTGTAGTAGCTAGGAATGTTAACATAGGACTGTTACAGCTAGTAGATGACATGAGCTACAAACATGAGAGCTCCCAATGGAAGTGTGAGCCCAGGAAGGAGGTTCCGGGACAAGATAGGTAGTGGTTTGTGTTCCCAAGCGGTGGAGGTGGTAATGGAGAAGTGATACACAGGTGGGTGTGGCAGGGAGCTTTGATGTTACTTAGAATCAAGGTCCCTGTTAAGATCATGTACACCGTGAAGCTGTGCCAGAGGCCACAAGGTGTCTAAGGGCAGAAGGTGTCTAAGGGCAGAAGGTGTCTAAGGGCAGAAGGTTGAGTGGGACAGTAGTGAAGTTATTAACAACACCACTGTTACGCTGCTAGTCCCCAGAGATCGTGAGTAGAGAAGGAGAGAACCAGAAGCAGCTAAGTCGGAGCGGCGATATTACCAACAACGGGGAGCGAACCAAAGAACTTATAAATCCTGAGGTCAGAGTAAGGAGAACTTCAAGTTGACAAGCCTGAAGATTTAAAGGACAAGAGGCGAAGGTCTAGTGATCTAAGTTGATAATTAAACTGAGGACTACAGTATTGTACAGGCAGTATTTATACATACAGATTGGCACATCGGAGCGGAGCACCAGTCTAACTACTAGGAGCTATACGTGTAGTACCTGCAGGGTAGAAATAAGACAATAAGAGAAAGGATAAAACAATAAGGAAGAGCCTAGGTAGAAAAATGTGTAGCGAGAAAGAACAATAAGGATGAGATTACAATCAACAGTAGATCTCGGAATACCAAGCAGCAGAGCGGGGCACCGAGGCATGGACTTGTGGAGCAAGTAGGGAGGTTGGCTCACTGAAACAATAGGCATTTGAGGAGCTTTAGAATTGGTTGAGGGAGGTTGAGGACTCACTTGGGTTGCTTAGACGTGAAGTAAAAGCATATATTGAAAATCCGTATAGGTAGCAGGTACAAAGGGACAGGGACTGGACCTATGTAAAGGGTGTGTGTTCAAAATATACCAAGCTGGGGCTTGGGACGCTATGGGGCTGCTTAAATAGGTACAGGGAAGTTAACAACGGAACAGTGCATAAACTGAGAAATCGAGATTGGGTTACTAATGGAGATAGAGTGTTGTATGTAGTTGGGGAGGTCCCTAGTCTCTAATGTGGTGGTGACGCCGGCGTCCTGGGAGCTGCTGTGAGTATCAAAGAATGGAGGTAGGTATGAGGAGGTAGTGTAAGGGTTCGGGAAGGAAGATGGAGGTTGAGAGAGGTTGCTGGGGAGCTTGGAGGAAGTGGATCAGGTCATGACAGCGAGGCTGCTGGCGTTGGCCACGGTCTTGTCCAAGTCCCATAAACTTGTCCTGGCAGACAGATTCCAAATGTCCTCAATGTCCACAGAATCGGCAGGTGGTTTCCTTGTGTGGGTAGTTCTGCTTAACATGACCTTGAGCTCCACAGCCAAAACATTGTCTGCGCACGCAGGCAAGGAAAGCCTCTCTGATGTTTCTAGTGCTGGTGTGAGTAGCATCAATGTCCATGGCATGAGGGCCAGCAGCAGTGGTGTGAGAAGTGTGTGCGGGGGCATGAGGAAGATGTTCACTAATATGGCTTGTTTGATTGCCTGCTTCAGAGTCAGAGCAGTTCCTTGGGCGATGTTTACAATGATGAAATTTTGTTGGATCTCTGGAAGCAGGGCAGTGAAGAAGTGTTCCTGTAAATCAATATCTGTTAAGATCATGTACAATGGAAAGCCATGCCAAGGGCGGAGGGTCAAATGGGACAGTGGTGAAGTTATTAACAACACCGCCATTACGCTGCTAGTCCCTGGAGATTGAGAGTGATGAGAAGACAACTAGTAGCAGCCAAGTTGGAATGGTGGTAGCGCCAACAACAAGGAGTGAACCAAAGAAGATATAAGTTCTGAGGTTAAGGTAGAGAGTACTCAAGCAAGAATCCTTAGGACTTCAGAGGAAGAAGGAATGATGATCTGAGGTGATCTAAGTAGATAATTAAACTGAGGAACTACCATATAGTACAGGAGTATTTATACCTATGGATTGGCACATCAGCGCGGATGTCATGCCTCGCCCCGAATCACATAGCCCACAAGCTCCTTAACATAGTTCCCAACCTCCCCAGTCTTCTTGGGACCACAATGTCCCGCACTCTTAAAATCACCTCCCATGAACCCATAACCTCCTGTGAAACCCCCATGAACCACCAGTCCCGAGACTCGTGTATGCCATCGGACAATCCCCTATCAATTAGCCTCATGGGCTCCGCACTTCACGCCATCCCCATTAGATGCTTGTTTATTACAATGTTTCTTTACCTATTCATCCCAACTATATATAAGTATCCTTGGTAACATCAATGCCCCCAGCTTGGTATATTTTGAACCACACCCTTTTGC